GATGGGGAGGACGGGGTTGGCTCGGCTGGCTCGTCAGGGTAGAAGCTCTCCTGCAGGGCCTCCTGGACCCTGACAGCCCCTCGATTGACCCGCCTGGATGGCAGCCTGCGGCAAGTGTAGCCAGGCTGATGGCCGAGTGCTGTGATGTGCCGAGTGTGGGCACTCAGGGCACTCCAAGCCAGGACTGCTTTGCTGTCCCTCATCGAGGTAGACAAGCAAGCAGGGAATTCTGAGAACTGTCTGTCTGAGGTGGGGGGTCCAGTCCCTTTAAGCACAGCTCTCGATTGACCCGCCTGGATGGCAGCCTGCGGCAAGTGTAGCCAGGCTGATGGCCGAGTGCTGTGATGTGCCGAGTGTGGGCACTCAGGGCACTCCAAGCCAGGACTGCTTTGCTGTCCCTCATCGAGGTAGACAAGCAAGCAGGGAATTCTGAGAACTGTCTGTCTGAGGTGGGGGGTCCAGTCCCTTTAAGCACAGCTCTTGGCTAGCCTGAGGCAGCAGCTCCACACTCTAAGTCCTAACTTGATACCCTGCCGGCACTGGTTCCGGCCAGCCTTAACTTCGGTTCAGGGTCCACTCAATGTGCACATGATAGTTCAAATTAGCAAAACGCTAATTCGTATTAGTTTTTAGGTCTAGATGCACTAATTCAAATTAGCTGAGTTCGAATTAACTAATTGGAATTAAGTTAGTTTGAATTAGTGCTGTAGTGTAGACATATCCATAATCTGCATCAATACATAAATGTCGGTTCCTACCACCTACTATCTAAGAATACAAGTGTTCCTAATACTCTTCTATGTACCTATTTTATTAAATAATAAGGGAAGCTTTAGGAGACCCTTAATGTAACTTTAGCAGATTATGCTGGGCTGCTTGACGAGTGCTTACGGGCACTCCTTAAGATGTGCTAGCTACTCAACCTCACAAATTTAAAAATAATGAAAGAAACAACATGAGCTGTCACTGTAATGCACTGGAAGATTTCTGACCCAGTTACCTAAGTTACTTCCTCTAAAGACTTTAATGTCATCTTTTTTTTTTTAAAACTAGGTTGATATGAAGATGTACGTTCTGATACATTGAAGCAGAGGAAGAGCTCCACCAGAAGCATGTGTGATGCACAGTTTCAAAAAGGTATGCTTCTGTCAATTTATTTTGTTGGTGGTGATTTTGTCCATCACTGATTTACATTTACAGTAACCTCTCAGTTGTTACAATGATTCCCCCTCTCATATTGTTGGCTATCTAGTTTTCCTGATGAAAACTGGCCTTTCTTTTAACAAAACACAAGTGTCTGTTCTGCTGGCTTAGCTAATAGAGATTTCATTTTACAACTGAGACCAGAACCTGCTGTAGTCCACATACAGGATGGACTGTTGTATAATATAAACAATGTTTCCTCTTCATGTGGGACTAGTACCTAGGCGTATTTATGAACAATAGGCCTGTTCTCTTTGGACACTGGGCTACCTAGTGGTTAGGATACTGTGCACCCAGCAACCCAACCACCATACCACGGTGGCGGAAGCACATATTTGTAAGTTATTAGGCAGTTCTAAAGATTAGAAAAGTATCAGGACATGCTGTACCAGCTTATGAATTTGAATCCGTTTCTTCGAAAAGAAATAATAGAATCATAGAATACTGGGACTGGAATGAAAGGAAATCATAGAATCATAGAATACTGGGACTGGAAGGGACCTCGAGAGGTCATCAAGTCCAGTCCCCTGCCCTCATGGCAGGAACAAAACAGTTGGGATCAGAACACTGGAACAGCACGAGAGGCTCAGATGGTGTTTCCTTATGTCTAAAAGGAATTCACAAGAATGTCAAAGGTGTCAGCATGCTGATATACAATACAGTGCCAATAAGCCTCTATCAATACCAATTTCACCTGCTCTTCTTTTACCCTCTGTGGGGTTTTTTGTTTGTAAAATAAGAGTCCAGTAATGTTCTGTGAAAAGTCTAAAAATATGAGTCTTGGGATGAATGATAGCTTCACAGTGTTTGTGGTAGAGTATGTTGGAACAGACACATGCACAGATCAAAATAAAGAGGGAGGGAAGGCCTGTGCAAACAATCAAGTATGCGCCTCCTTGTCTTCCCTGAAGGATTATGGGGCTCATAAATTTTACTTCTCTAAAGATAGTATCTCTGTGGGTTTCTTATTCTCTAATAGGTGATGAACAGAACTCCCTTAATTCTTAAACTTTTTTACCTTGGGAGGGCAGCAGTAGTGAGAGACAGGGAGAGAGCATGTGAATAGTACCCCCTCCCTTAAGTAGTCAAGTTGTATCCATTGCCGAGTATAGATGCTGTCCTCAGAACAGTCTACTGAGCTTTTTCTTGACTGTGTTTGATTAAAGGAGATCCTCTCCTTCCTCTCCCTCCACCTCAACAGCTTCATCCCATCAACCCTTCAGTGGCTTTGCCACAATAATGCCTTGTTGGGTATCTGTTCTCTTAACAGGATCTGACTGGAAGGCAGGATGTTAAAGGGGCTACATTTTGGATTGTTTGTCCCCGGCATTTGGGTGTGTGATTCAGACACAAAGGGATCAAGTTTGCTCTAGAAATGTAGGTGCCTTTTCTAGGCAATTCACTACAGTAACACCTGCACTAGTGTCCTAAAACCATTTTTTTCTAGTCCAACCTTCTATACTTTCTGTACTGGCACTAAGTTCTTATTCTGGTGATCTTGCTGCATTAATGCTTGTGTTTAGCTAGTCTAATCTTTCTTTTTGCTGCTTCAGCCAGTATTTTCTTGGCTTTACCAGTATGGTATTCAAGAGGAAGTATGGTGACTTCAAACCCATCAGCATTACATAAAAATGGCATAGTCCAAATACTGTGTTTATTGCATGACCTGCCTCAGAGTCGACCATTAGATGCTATGCACACCTCATATGTCACCACCAGCACTGAAGAAACATGAAGTGTGCCTCTTAAGTCATGAAGGGAGACTCCTTTGAGGGTGTACAGATCAGCCTGTAGTGCTTTGAACCCTCCAAGCCCAATTCTGAGTCAGAAAAGACTGAGGATCATCCTGCTAAGATAGTACTCTTTGCACTGGCACAGACCCATTCCCTACTGAAGTAAGACCAGTTAGGAAGGGTTCACAATGGGAGCTCCTTTTTCAGCCCAGTCCCTGATTCCCAGAAATGCTATATCTGACATTCTCCTCTTTCTTTCATGTTCTCAAAGGGAGATGGTGATTTTGACAGTTGGCACTTGCTTAATGGCCTTATAGAGGATCAGGTGCAGTTGTGTGTGGCTGCCTCTCAGCAGATTCTGTGGGATTTGGGGTGTTTCTTTCCCCCTGAATTAACAGGTGTAAGAGTATTCAGTGGAGCAGCAACATCTTCTGCCTTGAGACTGATACTTACTCTATAGGACAAGGGCAGGGCCCTTAGGCCCATGGATTGGATGTGACCCCCAGCTTGCCTGCATCTGGCCCCTAAGGCTCAAGGTTCTCCCCCCAGCATTGGAGAGTCCATGCTTGTGTTCCAGTCTCTCTGCCACCCACCACAGGAGAACATAAATGACTGATTTTTCTGTGGGTCAGTGGCCCCTGACCAAGAAAGGTTCCCCACCCCTGACACTGTCAACACAAGCTCTGGCCTCAACCAGAGCCATCCTACCCTTGCACAGAATACGCAGCTGCATAGGGCACCTTTGCACAGAATATGCAGCTGCATAGGGCACCCAAAAATTGGAGGGGCTCCACTGGGTCTTAATATTCATCCAACTGCCTCTTCCTAGCTCTGTTCTGTGGCTCTGCTTCCTCCAGAAAGGATCTAGTTAACTTAAAAGTGAAAAGACTGCCAAGACCTATTAGCAGAACATGGAAGCTGTGAAAGAGTCATTCAAGTGATAATGAAGCTATTTAACAGGCATTTGCAAATGCCAAATACATATTGCCATTTTATGAATTTAATGTGTTAATCAACAAGACCTTAGTTTAAAAATTGTTTGAAAAATATTTCATTAGTGAGTTGCTGAAGATTATAAAATCACATCACTAAAAACACATCCCCAGGCCGCTGTCAGGGATAGGGGCACCAGTTTAATAGTACTATCCATAAATCCTATGGATGTTCCTGGCCTCAACCTCCCATCTTTCAGTCCCTTTTCATACACACTAATCTAACCCCTCTCCACTTCCTCTCCCAGTCTCTGCCTCCCTCCCCCATTTCTAATGTTTGAATAGGTCTATTTACGCGTACTGGAGTTGTTTTTGTTTTGTTTGGGGGATCCCTTGAGTTTCTCCAGAAGTGAGAATGCAAGAAAGACAGTATCATAGGAGAGGGAAAACACTGGCTTTGCAATTCTGATTCTCAGAAGAGATCATTTTGCAGGATTCTCAGTCCCACATATCAGAGTTTAGAGTTTACTTTGTTATTTTTGTCCTGCTCTTTATATTGAACTGCCTCATCCTTCTGGAACCCTCCTCTCCTGCATAAAGGAAAAGGAAGTAACTACAATATTTAGGGGGAGCTAATATAGTTGGCAGGGATGGCTCAGGTTGACAAGTAGCTACATATCAGAGCAACTGGGGTGCTGCCGGGTTGGTCCTGCAGCTCCGAGGGGCGGCACTACAGGACCAACCGGGCAGCACCCCAGCTCCTCTACCCCTAGCTTCCCCAATTCAGCTGCTGGTCAGTTTCAGCAGCGGCTGAATCAGGGAAGCCGGGCGCAGAGCAGCTCCAATTGTCCAGCTGCCCGGAGCACTTCCGGGTTCCCGATGGTGCTGGACCATTAGGAGTGCCAGAGCATTGGATGCCGGATCAATGGAGTTTTACTGTACTTCCTTTTGTTTCTTTGTATACTGGCTGCCAATCTTTACTCTCAGAACTCTAACTTCTCTGTTTGTCTGTCTGAAGAAAACTCGCTGGAGCCAATTAATACTGCTGGCGGTGTGTTTTCATAGTGACTGAAGCATTTCCATCTCCTAAGGGCTGAGCACATGGCCTTCATAGTACTCCTGTCAGTTCCACAAAGGAAAAGGGAAGCTTTAATTCAGGAGTATGTCTGTTCTTATTGTTGTTTAGCAGAGATAGCCTTTGCTATCATCAGATTTGCACTGATGTAATTCAGTTGGTTCAAATCAATGGCTATACACTCTTATTTCAGTGTGAATTTTTTTGATCAGTTTGCTCTTATTTTATTTAAGTTGAATCAAAATAAGCATTGCTTAAGCTTGGTTTAAACCAAAATAAAAACACCAACACAGCCTTTTTGTTTGTTTGATTTGTTTTGCTTTTTATAGTACTGGCTTAAATCACACATTAGATCTAAACCGCCATAACACTGAATTTATGTAGACAAGCTAGTAGACTGGGCCAGAAATATCCTTCCTGAAAATTCTACACTATGTTCTTTGCTGGGTAGGTGAATAAGGTCTCCACAAATGCAGTAGCTGTGTGGTATAAACTCCTATACTCAGTGTGGAAGAAAGATAATTTGAATGCTCTATAGAAAGATTACTTTGTCAAAAACCTGCTCATTTCAGCTTAATAACCCTATAATTTTTAAGACAATTTACACAATACCTATGTTATATTTGTGCTAATGTTCTGTTTGAAACAAAATGGAAAAACACTCTAGAGTACTTCAGATAACTATTTTTTCTTCAAATCTACTGCAATTTATTATTTTAAGAGTTCAATGGCAAAATGGAAAAGGCGTGTTTGTTTGGGGTTTTTAACACACACTCAAAAAACTCTATAACAAATCAGGCTTGCTTGAAAAAAAGTGGCATATGTATTCAATACTAAAGGCTCTCTCTTGCTAACTGTTAAAATTTTTCTATCTTCCATGAATAAACATAACATGTGCCTCTCCACTGTGTCCCATTTTCCAGGGACATTGTTCATTTTAATCCTAAAGCTTACCTACATTTCTCATACATTTGGCACCACCTAACTTTTATTGCTAAAAGCAACTTAATGTCAGAAATAAACAGTTGTGAATCTGAAATTATAAAAAGTGTTATTTACACCAATGGAAAACTTCTCATATTTCTTGTATCAGTAATATTTGTGTCCATTATCTGCCACACTTTCATATACTGAATCCCATTTGGGCTTTGGCAGGTTGGGAAATATGAATAACACTGTGATAAACCCAAAGAC